AATGCGGCCTCGGTGCTTTTGCAGGTCCTGCAGCCTCGCGGTTCAGAGCCCCGGGCCGGGCCCCCGAGGAGCTCCCGGCACTCTCGCCTCTTGTCTTTCAGCTCCTCAATCAGTTTGAAAACACGGGCCCCCCACCGGCAGATAAAGAGAAAATCCAGGCCCTCCCCACCGTCCCCGTCACCGAGGAGCACGTAGGTATGAGAGCTCAGCCTCCCAAGTAGCCAGGCTACTTGGGATTACAGGCACTCGCCACGTCGCCCGGCTAATACTTGTATTTTCAGTAGGGACGGGGTTTCACCATATTGGCCAGGCAGGTCTCGAACTCCTGACCTCAGGTGATCCTCCTACCTTGATTCCCCAAAGCGCTAGGATGACAGGCTTGAGCCACTGCGCCCGGCCTCCGGCATTTTCCTGAAGGTCGGCTGGGAGGAGAGGGTTCTGTCCAGGTTCCCTCTGGCGGCCCGGGGGGGCGCACACATGGCTTTTCTCCCTTCACTGGGCTCAGGGGTGGCCTCTGACTGAGGCAGTGGAGAAGCCCGCCCTTGAAGGCTCGGCAGGCCCCCTGTGCCCCCTGTGACCGCAGCCACACACTCCCGCAGGCTCCGGGCTCGAGTGCCCTGTGTGCAAGGACGACTACGCGCTGGGTGAGCGTGTGCGGCAGCTGCCCTGCAACCACCTGTTCCACGACGGCTGCATCGTGCCCTGGCTGGAGCAGGTGAGTGCCCTGCCCACCCACCCCCCGACCGCGGCCCTCCCGCCTCTAACCTGCCCCTTCTCCCATCCCCGCCTCTGTCCCCACAAAGCACGACAGCTGCCCCGTCTGCCGAAAAAGCCTCACGGGACAGAACACGGCCACGAACCCCCCGGGCCTCACTGGGGTGAGCTTCTCCTCCTCGTCGTCCTCCTCCTCCTCCAGCTCGCCCAGCAACGAGAACGCCACAGGCAACTCGTGAGCTCGCGTCGGCCTCCGGGAAAGCACGGGTCCTTTCCCACCCACCCGCAGCCGGCGCCACACGGCACCCACGGACTGGTGCCCCGGCGGGCCACACTTGGCTGGTCAGCGCTGCAGGTCCCGCCTGTTCCAGGGCAGGATCCGGGCCCGGCCCACTGGCCCCCTGGCTCGGGAAGGCGTGGGCCACATGGTCCCCGCTGGGGCGTCCCCAGCCTCCCCGTCCTCTGTCTAACCTCACCCTCTAAACGTTCAGCGGTGGAAAGATTTTTATAATTTTAAATTATTACTGCTTTGAAATAAATGGACGTTTTAGCTCACACGGCGGCCATGCATGATTTGTGGCAAAAGACGGGGCGCAGCTGCCCCACAGTGCTGCAGGTGCCGCCAGGACAGGCCGCGTGGGCCCCCGGCCTCCCCTCGGCCGCCTCCACGACCCGGAGTTCGGGGGCTCGGGACCATGAGGATGACCAGCAAAATTCAAGAACAAAATTGCTCCAACAGACTTTTTTAAAGGAAAAAATATGTGTATCTTGAAAGCTATTTAAAATACACTACTTACAAAGAGAAGCCGGTGCTGTGGCTTTCCTTCTGCGCCCATGTGTCGGGAAAGGGCCAAGCTGGGAGGCTGGCTGGGCTCCGCACAGCCCGGTCCTGTCTCCAGGGGCCTGTGCCTCCTGCAGGGCCTGGCGCTCAGGACCTACTAGCAAGCCCGCTCTCCCGAGGTTAAGCCCAGGAGGGCTGCTGGCGAGGTAGGGTGGCGGTGACAGCGGGTCGTGAAATATAAAACCAGAAACACCAGTGTTAAAGCACCAGGGCCCAGCACCTCCACCTCACCCTCGGTCGCTCCTCAGGCTTCCACCGCAGCTACGCGGGTTCCTGGCCCCTCCGAGGAGCCACACCCCACTGCTCAAGGTGGCTGGATGCCTGGCCTGGGGTGCAGCCAGCTGGGGCAAGGCCTGGGGACGTGTGGGCTGGGGGCCAGGACGGTGGGTTCGTCTCAGTTGCTGAGGATCAAAGACTCAGACGATGGAGACGGGTAACGGAGAGGAGTGCAGCAGGACCACCCGTGTCCTTCCACTGCGGGCGGCTGCTGCGGGCGGGAGGTGCGTGCCCCACGCCCCCACCTGTTCTCCAAAGACTCCCGCCCTCCGCTCCGCTCCACACCGCCCTCTTCACCGTGTCCCGCGACGTGTCTGCGTCAGCCCCCTTGGCCAGGGAACTCGGATCCCACCTGTTCTGACCGTGCCCAGGGCACTTGCTGGACTTCTGCTACCGCCACGCCGTGGTGAGCCCTCCTGGTGGCCGCCCTCTGGGGTCGTGGAGCCTAGAGAAGCGTTGGGACTTCATGGCTGTGGCCGCCAGGGCAGAGTGCCAACCCTGAGGGTGTGCACATCCCAACTCCGGGACCCGCGGACTCGGCACCTCACGAGGTAACGTACCCAGCACCTGAAAATGAGGTTGCATGGAGGCCACCGAGGTGGGGAAGTCACTTTGCATTGTCCTTGATCTCCAGACTAAGAGAACAACTGTGTTTTAGGCCCCAGGTCTGCGCGACAGGCCAGGCCGCCTGCTCTGGGTCACAGTGCCCTGGCCGAGCCGTTTTCCTGTTGGAAAGGCGGAGCCTCGCGCCGTTTTCGTGTTGGAAGATGGAGTTTTGAGTCAGGAGGCGTTCAGCGGGACGACGCTTGGGTTCTGTGTGTCCGTGCTGGTCCTTGGGAGTGGAGTTGGAGCTGGAGGGGAGGGCTGGGCAGGTGAGGCTTGCGGTTGCAAGGCCTGGGGACTCGAACTGGACGGCTGTTGTCAGAGATGCTGCCGGGTGTGTGCCTGCCTGTGAGGCTGGGACTTCCCTCCCGTGGGGTGGCCGGGGTGGCCGGAGGAGCAGGACCGATCAGGTCGCCCCGCTCAGGCATGAGCCTCAGGGACGCTGGGCCCTGAGGACACTGGCACCCTGGTGGGGGCTGTGAGGCCGCAGTGCTCACAGATCAGACAGTGGTGAGAAGTGGCCGCCCTGGTGCCCTCCCCGCCCCAGGAGCCTGCTGCATGACAGGAGGTGGGACGCCCTCTCCCCATCGCCCTGCCTCTCAGGAGTGCTTCGTAAGCGGAAGCACAGTTTGCAACAGTTTGGAGTTGGCTGATTTTCACTGCTGGCAATTTCCTGGAGAGTGGCTGGTTCTGTGCCCCCAGGCCGCCTCTCTCTGTTGTGCAGCCCCCACCTCGCTGCCTGAGGACACCGGGGCACCCAGGCTTGGGCTTGTGAATGAGCTGCTGAGGCCTCTGTGTGAACTGGGATTTCGCTGCCCCGGGGATTTCACTGCCCCGGGACGTGCTGGACTGCCTGCTCATTTCACGCTCCGTTTTAGAAACAACTGCTGACCTGTTTCTTTTTTTTTTTTTTGAGATGGACTCTCGCTCTGTCGCCCAGGCTGGAGTGCAGTGGCACGACCTCAGCTCACTCCGCCTCCCGGGTTCAAGCGATTCCGCTGCCTCAGCCTCTCAAGTAGCTGGAATTATAGGCATGCGCCACTACACCCAGCTAATTTTTTGTATTTTAGTAGAGACGGGGTTTCACCATGTTGATCCAGACGGTCTTGATCTCCTGACCTCATGACTTGCCTGCCTCGGCCTCCCAAAGTGCTGGGATTACAGGCGTGAGTCACCGCGCCCGGCCTGCTGACCTGTTTCTCTGAGGCACACGTTAGGTTCCTGCGTGGGGTGCCAGCAAGTTCTATGTCAGCCGTGGACCTGTGCGGCCCCCGGCAACAGAACTCAAGTGGCAGCGGCCTCTGAGCTGGTCCCTGTGTGCAGATCTCCCGATGCTGACAGCCTGGGGTCATCCTGGGTGCAGCTCTGGCCTCCACCTGCTCCATGCCAGCCAAAAGTGTCCCCTGGGGCCACCTGGTGTCCCCTGGGGCAGGGCCCCCTTCTCTGCAGGCTGTGCAGAGGCTCTCTGGCCGGGCACGACCCTCCCTTCCCAGAAGGGTTTTCCCTGTCAGGCTGCTCAGCGCCTCCCAGCAAGTGCCCCGGCCCAGTTTTCCTGGGTTTATGTGGAAGGCGGTGGCTGGGGGTGGAGCCCTGGCCGTCCCCGGGGACTGTCCCTTTCACCGGGGCTGTGGTGCTGTCACCCACACACAGAAGGGGAGACGGGCCCAGGGTGTGGCTGCCTGGCTCGAGGCTGCGGGGCTGGGGTGGACCTGGGCTCTTGGCTCTGCCCTTTTCTCTGGCTGGAGTTTGACTCCCAGCGCTGCAGGCAGATGTCCCAGCGGATTCAGGATGTCAGGAGGGCGCTGGGCACAGGTGGGGGCGCCCCCACCCCGACAAGCAGCCCTCCCCACGTCCCGCAGGACAGCGGCATGAAGCCCCAGGCCTGCCCGGCACCCAGCACGGCTCCTGCCCTCAGCCTCTGCCCTTCCCGGGGGATGTGAGGGGCACTGAGGCGTCAGCCTCTGCCCTTCCCGGGGTATCTGAGGGGCACTGAGGCGTCAGCCTCTGCCCTTCCCGGGGGATGTGAGGGGCACTGAGGCTTATTTTGTCATGAAAACAGTTTCAGACACCGTATTTTTCCGACGTCTGCTGTAACGAAGGACCACAAACGTGAAGGCTTAAAAGACGACATTTATTTTCTGGCGGTTCTGGAGGCCAGAGTCCAAAATGGGTCCCACCGGGCTAGTATCAAGGTGGGGCGGGGCCGGTCCCTCCCGGGGGCTCCAGTGGGGACCCGTTTCCCGCCTTCCCCAGCACCTGGAGGCACCCACATCCCGCATCCCTCAGCTTGGGGCCCTTCCTCCCCTTCCACAGTGCAGCCCGTCCCCGTCTCTGTGGCTCTCACCCTCCCGCCTCCTGTCGTGAGGACCCTGTGAGGACACTGGGGCCCTGGACCCCCCACCCCGGATGCTCCCCCATCTCTGTCCCACCTGCCGGTGCCTTGGTCCTCACAAGGCAGTGCATTTGCAGATTCCTGGGATGGGACCGACTTCGAGGCTGGTGTGCTGCGGCGTCTGTCACCGTCCCCCCAGCTCCTTCCTCGCCCCCCCTCCCCTCCCCTCCTCTCCTCTCCTGGCCTGCCCCACATTGTGCTCCCAACCCTGAGCCCTTGCCTCTGCAGGGCCCTGCCTGGGACATCCCCCTCAACCTTTCGACGTCCGCATCCTTCAGCCCGGGAGGTGCCCTGTTGGGTCCTCGAGGTCGCCAACTCAGGATTGGACCTGCTTGGTGGCCGCCGTCCCCTCAGGCTGGGGTCCCCCTGGGGGGCTCCTGTGCTGTGTCCCCAGCGCCCGCACGCCGTGGGCACTCAGCGCTTACGGGGCCAGCAAGGGGAAGAACAAGCATGGCTGGGCCCTCGCCACCAGCCTGGGCACCTTGGGGAGCCGCCGGCCTCTCGGGGCCTCAGGAGACCAGGACGGGCAGGAAGTGGGCGGACAGGTGGTACCGCCGCGTCCGGCCGCCTGGCCGGGGCCCCCCCCTCCTGTCCAGTGCCAGGAACATGGGCTGGCCGTGGCGGTGCCAGCGCTGGGAGGCGTAGGTGTTGTGGCCGTTCTCTTCGATGCGCTCCCGGAACCTGCAGTCCACAGTGTAGAGCCGCTGCGGGTGGGGGTGAGGCCGGCCGAACCCCCCACCCCGCCCGTGCCGCCCGGCCCTGCCCGGCACTCACCGACCCGTAGAGGCGGCCCCGGCGGTCCATGGCCACGTAGAAGCCTGAGGACACTGCTTTGATGACCACGACGCCCACGTGTACAGAGCGGATCTCCAAGATGCCTGGGGGAGGCGGGGGTTGGGGGAGGGCCTTGCTGGCTCACAGCCGCTCATGCTGGCACTGGCTCACCCCCCAGCACCGCTGCTGTCCACCGTGCTTCGTGCAGGACCCTCAGGACCACGACAGACACCAGGAAGACCCCCCAGGACCACGAGTCCCCTCCCGACCACAACAGACACCAGGAGCCCCCCCAGGACCACGACAGACACCAGGAGCCCCCCACCCCAGACCACAAGTCCCCTCCTGACCATGACAGACACTCGGGAGCCCCCCCAAGACCACGATGGACACCCAGGATCCCCCCAAGGCCATGACTGACACCAGGAGCCCCCCAGCATGTGAAGGAGGAGCGAGGAGCAGGACGGCCCCCTTGTGCTGGAGGGAGTGCAGGGATCGACGAAGACCCATGGGAGAGTCCACCAGGCCAGGTCAGCGCTGTCCCTGCAACCCAGCGCGAGGGCAGCATCCGTGTGTGTGTGTTGGGGGGGGAGGTCCCAGACACCCAGGGGGACGCCAGGGGCAGGAACACCACGAGGAAGGTTGGCAGAGGGTTCCTGGGATGTGGGAGTCAGAGCGGGCAGGGCCCGTCCGGGCCGCTGTTGACCATCAATGAGCCAGCGACAAGCACCACCCCAGGGAGCCCCAGCCCCGGCCCTCACAGCTCAGCGGCTCAGCCCACGCACAGTCACTGGGACTCAGAGCTCCGGACTGGAGGCCAGACTGGCAGTGGCCTGGAGTGGGACACCACAGACATGCTTGAGCGCCGACTGTATGCCAGCTGTCCTACCAAACCCACTCAGCCCACATCACAGAGAGGCCAACTGACGCCAGCGAGTGGCAGAGCCAGATGCGGACCCCGTCGTCTGTGGGTGGCCCAGGGTTCACCCTGCCCCACCCTGAGCCAAAGTGTCTTGTCCAGCAAGGACCTTGGGCCCGGCCGCCACTCCTCACCCACACTTGCTCACCCCAGCCTGGGTGCCTGCCTCTTCCTCAGCCGGCTGCACAGTTCCCCGTGTGCCCGGCCAGCTCCCTGTCAAAGTACAAGCTCCTCGGGGCGGCCTCCAGGCCCGACCTTCCAGGGCACATGGGAACGTCTTTGACGCGGTTGTTCTGGGGTGTCTGTGTCACCATCTCCCCTGGCCCCTTCCTCGCCCTGCGCCTCCCCTCCCCTGGCAAGGTGTCTCCCAACACCGCTGTTCACTGTTCTGTGCACCCACCTGGGCCCTTGTTCCTGTGTCTAACTGCTGCGCGCCTCTGCTCTGGGAGCCCCGGGAGGGTGGGCATCTCTGTCACCACTGGGTCCCCCGTGCCGAGCACAGCACCCACAAGGTGCCCGACTAGTGACCGGCGAATGTACGAAGGGCAGGAGAGCCCTCGGCTAGCCCTCACCCCCATCGCTGTCCAGCTGGGGAAACCAAGGCTCAGAGAGAGGTAGCAACTGTCCCAGGTCACACAGCAGAGCCAGGCCTCTGCCCTGGCCCGAGGCCACCCCGCCTGGCCATGCCCGCCATGGAGGGACCGGCCCAGCCGGTCCCCTGTCCGCCCTCGTCGCGTGCGGCCTAATGAGGGCCTTGGCGCCCAGATGAAAGCGCTGGGAAGGGCAGGGGTGATTATCTGCCCTAATGGTAGTGATTCAGGCGGCAGCCAGCAGCCCAGGCCCCCTCCCCAGTGCCCCCTGCCCGGCGGGGACACCGACTCCCCTGGCCTCCGGGTTACCCCCACATCCCCTGCTGTGCCGGGGCTCTCCTCTTGCTCCTGACATTCCACAAACGCTGAGGGCCTACTGTGTGCTGGGCAGGCCCTGGGGATGGAGACGCCCGCTCCGTGAGGTCCTGGGCCCTGTGGGGACCCAGCTCTGCCACCCCTGTCAGTGCGACCCCGGGCAGGCCCCATTCCCTGTGTGCCTCCTTGTCCTCACCTGCCAGATGGGGTGTCTAGGAAGAAGCAGAGGGGCCCGGACTCAGGCAGCCCTGACTCGGTTTTGTGATGTCAGGAGTCCGGCGGTCAACCCCCTCCTTCCGCTATGCAGCTGGGCCTGCCCCAGCCTCTCTGGAGCCTGTTTCCCACCTGCAGATGGGTGACCCCACCCACAGGGCTGTTCCACACCGACCCTTCCCTGCCCCTGAGCCGGGCCCCCCCTGCAGTCTTCGTTTTAACAGTCCAACCCTCCCAGCAAGAGGGCTGCACCCATCGCACAGTCGGGGGAAACTGAGGCCGAGGCTGCACAGAGGAGCCTCTGCCATCACTCGGTGCCATCACTCGCCGCCCCCCGCCCGGGCCCCGCCGCCCCGCACTCACTGTCCTGGCCGTGGCGCCAGCGGGTGCCTTGCACGCGGCCGCCGGGGTCCACGCGCAGGAAGAAGTGAGTGGAGGAGAAAAGGCGCCGCCAGCGCACGTCGCCCTCCAGGTGCGGGTAGCTGCGCGTTCTCTGCGGCGCACTCGGGGCTCCCGGGGCGTCCGGCGCCCGCGCCAGCAGCAGCCAGGCCAGGCCCAGCCACAGGCGGCGGCGCATGACCCGGCGCCCGGTTCGCCGCGCGCTCTTCGCTCCCGGGCGTCCGCGGCGCTGCCTTCGCGCGGCGGGGCCAATGGGGCGCCTCGGGGGCGGGGCCGGGGACACCGGCCAATGGGGTGCCTCGGGGGTGGGGCCAGGCTAGGACGTCGGCCAATGGGGCGTCTCGGGGGTGGGGCCAGGCTAGGGCGCCGGCCAAGGGAGCGTCTCGGGGGCGGGGGTCAGGTGCACGGGGACGCTGCAGTGCAGGACTCTGCGCTCGGCCTCCGCGCGTGTGTTTGTCTCGCGGGGCGTGTCGGTGAGTCAGCCGAGTTCCCGGGCGGGCTAGGACCTCGGGCTGCGGGGGCGGGAGTGTGAGACGCGGGCCGCAGAGACCCGGAGGGAGACAGAGACAGAGAGACGGTGGCAGTCAAGAGACACGGAGAGACGAGTGAGACAGAGAGAGTCGGGCAGAGGTGGAGATGCGGGGGCACAGAGATGGACACGGGAGGTCCTGCCGCGTGCGTCAGCTCCGCCAGCCGGGCTCCGGGGCCTGCCCTGGTGGGACTGCTCTCCCCCCAAATTGTGATTTCCCGAAAGCCAGGCCCACAAGGGTGTGGAGATGCGCGGGTGGGTGGGCAGGTGACGGCTGGGGACGTGTGTTTGGGCAGGAGGGAGGATAGCCACGTAGACCTGTGGGTGGCCGGCCGGCGGGGCACCGAAGGCGGCAGGAATGGGGCGGTCCCGTTCACACCCACACCTGCTCTCCCTTGAGCCACACCCCAGGTCCCACGGGGAACCACCCAGCAAGGCGGCTGGCCCCCACTCCTCCTTGGCCTGCCTCATGCCCTGGGTCCCAAAAGGTGAGCACAGTAACCCTCGCAGACTCACAGCCAAGTGAAGGCATTGACAGGTGGGGTAACCGAGGCCTGACAGGGGCAGCGACCTCCGGTGTGGGAACACAGCTCCCAGCAGCCCTGTCCTGGTTCCGTGGCCACAGCCCCAGGTGGCACTTTTAAATAGCACCAGGGTGAAGACATGGCGACCGGCCTGTCCAGCCAGGGAGCCCTCTGGAGGGATAACCGGTCCGGCTGGACGCCGGGATGCCTTCCTGGTGGCTCAGGCATCTCCTGACCCTCTGTTCCTGGCTTAGGCGGGTCACACAGAGGCAGGTGCCACAGTCTCAGGGGCCCGCTACTGAGATTGGGCCAGGGGTCCCCAGGGCTGAGGTCCAGCCTGGCCTAGTTTCCCACACTAGAGCCCTGTGGCCACCACCCCAGGGGCCCTGCAAGCCTCGCTTCATCTCCCCAAGCTTGGGTTCCGCCTCTGTCAAATAGGCCAGTAAAGAGACGTCTGGAGGAAGACAGTGAGACCCTCCACGGAGCACGCTGGGCAGAGGGCGCAGCACCAGACACTGAAGAAATGTCCTCCGACTTCTCGCCAGCAGGAAACCAGGTCTTCCCTTCCTAGGGTGTCTGCCCCCCGCCGCAGAAGGGTGGTCTGAGGCCCTGTGACAAAGGATGGGGGATGGGACACACAGCTGGGAGGCTGGCCCCACCCCAGGCGTCTGAGTTTCTTTAACGACACCTCGGAAACTTCAGTCATATATCACACAATTCACCACTTACAGTGCACAGTTCAGTGATTTTATTTTTATTATTATTATTTTTTGAGACGGATTCTCGCTCTGTTGCCCAGGCTGGAGTGCAGTGGAAAGATCTTGGCTCACTGCAACCTCCGCCTCCTGGGTTCAAGCGTTTCTCCTGCCTCAGCCTCCCAAGTAGCTGGGATTACAGGCGCCTGCCACCATGTCCAGCTAATTTTTGTATTTTTAGTAGAGACAGGGTTTTACCATGTTGGCCAGGCTGGTCTCGAACTCCTGACCTCGTGATCTACCTGCTTCTGCCTCCCAAAGTGCTGGGATTACAGGCATGAGCCACCGCGCCTGGCCAGTTCAGTGATTTTAGTACCTCACAGAGTTGGGCAACCACCACCACTGTCTAGTTCCAGAAAGTTCCATCACCGCAAGAAGAAGCCCCATTAGCCGTCACTCCCCATCCCCTCCGCCAGCCCCCAGCACCCACACATCCCCTTCCTGCCTCTGTGGATGGGCCTGTCGTGGACACTTCATATAAAGGGGATCACACGCTATGTGTCCTTCTGTGTCTGACGTCCTCAAGGTGCGTCCACGCTGTGGCCAGGTCAGAGCCTTGCTCCTTTTCATGCCAGTAATCCCAGCTACTCAGGAGGCTGAGGCAGGAGAATCGCTTGAACCCAGGAGGTGGAGGTTGCAGTGAGCCGAGATCGCGCCACTGCCCTCCAGCTTGGGTGACAGAGTGAGACTTTGTCTCAACAACAACAACAAACACCCATCAGGGCTGGGCTGGCGGATGCTTTGTATTCAGTGGTCTTTTCCTCTTTGTGGCCTCTGTGGTTGGCCCAAAGGTAAGTCCGCACCCTGATCCCCAGAACCTGTGACATTTGCCTTATTTGGAAAAAGAGTCTCAAAAGACGCCTTGAAGATCTGAACGAGATGCAGATGATTGTCCTGGAGTGTCCTAAACGCGGTCACAATAGAGAGGCAGGAGGAGATTTCAGACAGGCAGACGAGGTGGCTGCAGTGCGACCACAGAGACGAGATGGGAGCGATGCGGCCACAAGCCAAGGATGCCTGGAGCCTTCAGAAGCTGGGAGAGGCAGGAAGGAGCCCGGGGACCTCTGGAGGGAGCGAGGCCTCCACACATCTTGACTTCAGCCCTGTGGTCCTGATTTTGGATTTTTCTTTTTCTTTTTTTTTTTTTTTTGAGCCGGAGTCTGGCTCTGTCACCCAGGCTGGAGTGCAATGGCCGGATCTCAGCCCACTGCAAGCTCCGCCTCCCGGGTTCACGCCATTCTCCTGCTTCAGCCTCCCAAGTAGCTGGGACTACAGGCGCCTGCCACCTTGCCCGGCTAGTTTTTTGTATTTTTAGTAGAGACGGGGTTTCACCGTGTTAGCCAGGCTGGTCTCGATCTCCTGACCTCGCGATCCGCCCGTCTCGGCCTCCCAAAGTGCTGGGATTACAGGCTTGAGCCACCGCGCCCAGCCAGATTTTGGATTTTTCATTTCCAGAAATGTAAGAAAATGAACGTTGTTTTAAGGCACCAAGTTTGTGATCATTTGTCACAGGGCCTGCGGCCATCCCCTTCCATCTGGCGATTCTTGACTTTCTGGGGTTTGGTTGGGTTTTGTTTTGTTTTGTGTTTTTTTAGACAGAGTCTCACTCTGTTGCCCAGGCTAGAGTGCAGTGGCATGATCTCGGCTCACCGCAACCTCTCCCTCCCGGGTTCAAGCAATTCTCCTGCCTCAGCCTCCTGAGTAGCTGGGATTACAGGTGCCCATCACGCCCGGCTAACTTTTGTGTTTTTATTCGAGACAAAGGTTTTGCCACGTTGACCAGGCTGGTCTGGAACTCCAGGCCTCAGGTGATCTGCCCACCTCGGCCTCCCATAGTGCTGGGATTACACGCATGAGCCACCGCACCCGGCCAGACATACGGTTTCCCACTTTTGATGGTGATATTGTCTCTTTGTAAAACTTAAGCAAGCAAAATATTAATATTGTATTTATTAATTTATTTTTGAGATTGAGTCTCAGCTCTGTCGTTCAGGCTGGAGTGCAGTGGTGAGATCTCAGCTTACTGCAACCTCCATCTCCTGGATTCAAGCATTTCTCCTACCTCAGCCTCCCCAGTCACTAGGATTAACAGGTGCCCGCCACCACGCCCGGCTAATTTTTGAATTTTTGGTAGAGACGAGGTTTCACCATGTTGGCTAGGCCGGTCTCGAACTCCTGACCTCAGGGGATCTGCCGGCCTCAGCCTCCCCAAAGTGCTAGGATTACAGGCGTGAGCTACCATGCCCGGCCAATATTGTATTTATTTAATACATGAGTGGTGGAGACAGATGTAGTTAAAATAAATGGCAGAGGCCGGGCGCGGTGGCTCAAGCCTGTAATCCCAGCACTTTGGGAGGCCGAGACGGGCGGATCACGAGGTCAACACAGTGAAACCCCGTCTCTACTAAAAAAAATACAAAAAACTAGCCGGGCGAGGTGGCGGGCGCCTGTAGTCCCAGCTACTCAGGAGGCTGAGGCAGGAGAATGGCATAAATCTGGGAGGCGGAGCTTGCAGTGAGCCGAGATCCGGCCACTGCACTCCGGCCTGGGCGACAGAGCGAGACTCCGCCTCAAAAAAAAAAATAAATAAAATAAATAAATAAATAAATAAATGGCAGGGCGGGGGCGATGGCTGCAGAGTTGCCAGGCTGGAATTTGGGCAAGGACCTGTTTCAGAAACTGTTGTCTTATTCGAAAACCAGATTAGGTTTTTTTTTTTTTTTTTTTTTGAGACAGGGTCTCACGTTGTCGCCCAGGCTGGAGGGCAGTGGCTCAGTCACAGCTCACTACAACCTCTGCCTTGTGGTTCAAGCAATTCTACATCTTCCCACCTTGGCCTCCCAAGTAGCTGGGGCCACAGGCAGGCACCACCACACCCAACAAAATTTTTTTGTGTTATTTGTAGAGATGGGGTTTGGCTACATTGCCCAAGGCTGGACTGCAGTTGTGCGATCTTGGCTCACTGCAACCTCCACCTCTCAGGTTCAAGTGATTTTCCTGCCTTGGCCTCTTGAGTAGCTGGGATTGCAGGCACAGGCCACCACGCCCAGCTACTTTTTGTATTTTAGTAAAGATGGGGTTTCACCATGTTGGCCAGGCTGGTCTCAAACTCCTGACCTCACGTGATCCGCCCACCTCGGCCTCCTAAAATGCTGAGATCACAGGTGTGAGCTACCACGTGCGGCTGAGGGTAACTTTCTTGCTGCTAAAGATTCGGGAACCTGGCTCCTGGGGAAACACTGGTTTAGGGGGTCTGATGTCTCATCAAATAGAAGAAAAGACTAACGCAAAAGGAATGGTGAAATAGTTCAGAAGTCTTGGTTTCCTGCAGGGGTGCAGGGAGCGTCTGTAGGTCTTGGGACACCAGGCCCGGCTG